GTGGTTCAAGTCCATCCAGAGGAGCCTCAGAAGAAAGGCTTGGAGATCTGCCTCTGAAAAATCAGCCACTGAAAACCCTATAGAGCTCAGTTCTACTCTGACGCACTTGGGATCGCCATGAGTCAGAGTCTGCTTGGTAACATCTGGTTTCACTCTCTATATTACTGTATTTCTTAATACATCAATATATAGAAGATTCAAAATTTTTTCTGACATCAAATAACCTTTGCATATTGCTTGTTACACTATATGTGGACACAATCTATCTTTTTATATTTAAGCAGCACAGGTTACTGCCTCCTTAGTGACATTTTTTGGAAAATTTGAAAATTCTAATGTCATTCCAAAGCTTCCATCACCAGAAAAAAGATTCTTAAAAGCCCCACTTAGAATGTTACCTTCTTAGCATAAGATGTCAGTCCTTGTTAGAAAATAAGTGTAACTAGGAGAGCTAATACACTGTAAGTGTACACCTATTGTGTTTTACTGTGATCCTTGGATCCCTGAGGGCAGACTCCAAGAGGCTGACGCCCCTGGGAAATACTGATCACCAATAATCTGCTGAGAAGGGACCGTCAAAAAAGAAATGAAGCCAGCCGCCTAAGAGAATTTAATTTTCTGCAGCTTACTGTATAGGTCACTCTAGAAACTTTGCCAATGGCTCTCGACTATTCCACTACTACTTGTGTGCCCTCAACCTAACAGACAAACCCTCCTCCGTGCGGCCAGCTGGGCTACCTCAAACCCCAGCGATCAACAGGCTGACAGATGTTATGGTCAGATCACCGTCACACTCCGCTGAGGGTGTACAGGAAGTCACGCTGGCTCCACGCTCCACCGTGAACATGCTCCGGGATAGGAGACCCACAAAGCGTGGATTAATCCGCTAGGCAAATGCCTGGTCACAGACCTTGAGAAATAAAAGACTTGGTTCTAATGAACGAGCGGCCTCTCTTCACTGCAGCTTTTGTCTTTTCCAGGCCATCTTTGGTTCCCTCCTTTGCAGCTTTCATGAGTCTCTGCATCTGTGAAAAAAGGCACAACGTGAGGGGTGGTCCAAGTCACCAAATAGCTACTTGTGGCTTGCATCTGCTTATTTTAAAAGAATACTGTCAAGTAGTTTGGTCTTGAAACGTTACCTGCAATTGGCTTTGTGATCTGGGAGAACTTTTCTGGTTTGTGTGTATTTTTTAGTTTTGTTTTGTTTCTTAATGTTTGTTTGTTTTAAGAAAAGAAAAACCAAACTTTAAAGGAGTGGTTCCTTAACATGATTAAAAAAAGTTTCCTATTACATCTAAAAGTCAATCTTTATTATTATTATAATCACTTACAAGCCAAAGAGCTTTGTAGACATCACCTAAAAGTAGGTAGAAAAACTAAAGTGCACAAATGCTGAACAGTTTGCCCCAAATTAAATGCCATACCATAAGAAAAAAACAATGAACCACAGACTTTCATTTCTCCAACTTAGCATTAGCCATTCAACATTTTCCACGGATGCCATTCCTGACCAACGTGCTCCCATGTGGAGGTCTGGCCATTTGTTTACAGGGACCCCTTCTTACTAATGGTCA